AGATTTTAGAATATCTGGCTTATTACATTTTGAAGCAATTCTGTATTTAGATCACTAAAGAATTTCACACAATAGTTTCTTTTACAGTTTCTAGGTTAACAGTAATGACATGTTTATGAAAAGTATCAATATACCATTTTTACATTTACATGGTAAATTATTTATTTGATCTACATTTAAATTAGTTGAAAAACTGTTATAATTATATAATAGTGGGCGAATTAGAACTTCGTCATTGTAGCTAACAGTAGGCTTCAAGTTTTACAAAGTAAATTTTTTTTTATAGATTGATGAATAATTTTAGAAATTTTAAGTCATTAAATATTTTATGTTTAAATTAATTACCAAATATGACGTTTTTTATTTTCAAGAAGAACGAGATAAGAAACAAGAAGAGAGAGATTACAGCAGTTGTTAGAGGATAAAGAAAAGAAACAAGACGAACGAGAGAATAAATAAGAAGAGAGACTACAGCAGTGGTTGGAGAAGAAAGAAAAGAAACAAGAAGAGAGGCTACACCAGTGGTTTGAGGAGAAAGAAAATAAACAATAAGAGAGACTACAGCAGTGGCAACTGGAACAAGAAGTACAAATGGTAAAGATTAGTAAATTTCAAAGAATTTTTACCGGAAATTATCAAACAAGCAGACACTTAACAGTTGGTTTATGGTTACATTTTATCTTAAAATTATTCCTAATCTAACTATCTTGATATCTAAAAAGGTAAACTACTTATTGTTTGTTTTTCAATCATCAATTTAATATCGTTATGTTGACTAATCAAATTATTTTGAAATTCATGAACACCAAATTTATTTTCAAAAACTACACACATATCATAAACATAGATTCCAACGCGAAAACTTCTGTATTTAGAAATTAAGAACATTATAACCTCATGGATTAAATCAAGATTTTAAAAATTCTACTGCTCTAAATTTGAGTAATGATTACTGTATTACTTTTTTTCTTTTTAGATAGTTTTCTCATAAAAATATATATACGGTAAAGGAAAAAATAAACATAACAGATTGATTTTCTAAAATTATGTAGTAATTTGGATAATATTTTTATTCTAGTACTAATATACGTAAATTTTTTAAAAAGGATTTATCAACCTAATCTTCCTAAAATAAGGGCATTAATTAATGTAATTAACAATCTAATTTTCAAAATGATCATGCAAAACATCTATTTTAAGATATTGTGAAATAGCGATTAAAAGTTAATAATTTACCTAGCTTTGAAAAAAAAAAGAAAGCTTTTTCTTTTCTTTTTCCTCCAACAACTGCTGTAATCTCTCTTGTTTATTTTGCTGTTCGAGCTGCCACTGTTGCAAGTTTTCTTGCCACTGCTGTTGTCTCTTTTCTTGTTTATCTTCTCGTTCTTCATGTTTCTTTTGCTGTTCTTGTATTGCTGCCATCTAATCTACTAAGCTGTAATTTGATTTGCTACTTCTCGTTTCCATCTTCTTTTTTCTTTTTTTTTATCCCACTTCTGACACCAATTTGTTACGTCTCTGTTCGTTTGTTAATTTCCCGTAAAATTTCTTCCCGAAGAAATTCAGTCCTTTATTAAATAAAACTAGTTTATTCTTTCTCAATACAACTTTGCAATACACAGAATTTCCACAGTCACTTTCACTTAAACACACGCTATAATTCACAATGATTCACGCAATTTACTTACGATTTGACTTGATTATCTGTCTCTATCTCTTCAATTTGCAATTATTCTCCTCCCGATCCATTGTCTGGCGCGCTTATATACAAGAATAGAGGGTGCGTAGAAAAGACTAGAGTTGCCACGAACAGACATGATCCTTCTAGAATCTCATAACGTGTTACTAGCGTCACGTGACTCCCGCTGTCGTAACACAACTTTATCTTGTATTTGTAATTTAGTCTCCTCAATGAGGAAAGAGATGTCCATCTACAATAAAACAATTTTTGACTGATTTTGATCAATTCCGTTAAAAATGAAGAAAAAGAAAACAGTCCAGACACGTAAAAATGTTCAAACTAAGGAAGTAAGATTGAAGTCTGAAAGAGATTCGCTGTAAGTAGGCGCCGTCTTCCTATTCTGGCAACATCGCTCAGTATCAGTTTTTCTTTGTTGTAGATCTGTCTCTTTGACGACTTGCTTACATTTCTCCTGCTTCCCTTTATCACCCAATCTAAGTTGTCGCCTACTTATAAGTTACAGTCTAATATGTGAATACGAAAATCCCCCCACAGCAATCTTGTTTCCTAATTGAAAGTTCAAAGCCAAAACTACAGCGCAAAACAAACATATTTTATACCCCACATACACATTTAATTGAAATTTAGTTACTTCATACTTAAATACTTACCAATATAATACTTATATGATGTTTTAAAAACATTTTTATAAAGACACATTCTTTTACATGTGCATATCATTATTTTCTTCTAAACAGTAGATACGACAAGACTGTTTAATTAAAAGTAGAAATGATGAGAACACGTTAAAACTTTATACGATTAAAGGTTCCTCCACGTTTCCAAGTGTTAAAACTTTATATTCTTAAATGTTCCTCCACGTCCCCACTTGTTAAAACCCAGATATGCTTAAATATTTCTCCATGTCCCCACTTGTTAAAACTATATATGATTATTATTCTGTTCTGAAATTCCAGTATTTTAAGTTCAGCGATTATAAGCCTATTGTGCGAAACTAACAGAGATCAAAATCATATTGTAATATTAAGCCTTTTCTCCAAAAATTACAAAATTGCTAAACTTGACACAACCAAGCATACTTTTAGTACATTCATAATTCAAATAGGCGGTCTATGGGACAAAACAAAAGCTTCTTAAAACATGTTTTAAATAGGCAAACAATGGAAACTATTTTAAATAAGTTCCAGTATTTAACTAAATTCTTCTTCAGGAAACCATGAAAATTCTCTTATCTCTATGCTATACACGTATAGTAAAATTCTACGCTAAACACTTTTACATAAGAATAGAAAGTGATTAATGAGAGTGTATCAAAGTGTTAGAAGCTTTTATTTAAAATCCATACCAGATATTTCCCACATGTTACATACCTCAAATGAAGTAAAAACTGTAAAAAAAAGGAAAAAAAAAGTCCTACAACTTTGCTTAAAGTCGGGAAATATTGTCCATAAATATTATGGAACTCGCGTTCACCTCTGTAGAATTTGAATGTAGACTGTAATATCAGGTTCTAAACAGCAAGAGCACAAAGATGACAGCACTGGGCGTTGTCGATTCAACCAACGGGAAAACTGCACGCGGATCACGTCTTGTCAGGTCAAGTAATGCTAACTGCTGTATATGCCTATCTAAATGTTACGGTGTTTTCAAAGATAAACTAACATGGTAAAAACATCCCTGGCATCAAAAGGCACTGTAGAAAGATCCACTAAACCAGACATCTAATTGAAAAGGCTTGTACTTACCTCACTGTTAAGATGTGGTGGCTAGAAAGCAGTGGCAGCAGATGTTGAACATTCGGCACAAGCTTCCGTCATATACTGAGACTGCTCGTGTCTGGTACAGCCACACTAATGCTGCACCCGCTCTTACGTGATCGGCCGAAGAGCCTATGCGCATGAACACTAAAGTGTTCGTCAAAGACGAACAGCGTTTTGACAAACGCCTCGAAATATTCCTCAGCACAAATGACATTAAACTGTCTGAGATAGAATGTGAATTACTGTAAACTTTTGGATCAAAATTTTTAAAGACACGCCTTTTACGCGTATTGGCAGCAAAAAAGCACGGAGAAGTGAATATAATAAACGTCACTTGACAATGTACTAATTCCCTCCGTTAAGCCTTGTATAAAATAATATGATTCTGTAAAGCATAGGGTACATTGTTGTGTGGACTCCAAGTACGTGTACTAAGGCTTATTTTAGGTGTAAAGTGCAATATATGATGTGAGCGACTGCTGCATCGTCAGGCAAGATTACTTATTACAAACTTCTTTAATTCTAACAACGATGAATAATTGAACAAACCAAACAATAAATTAGAAGTTTTGTTTTTATTTCTCTATCCTCTCTCTTGTCAAAAAATGTCTATTTCGAATTTTGGAATGTTTTAGTGATAAGAAGCCATGCTTTGGCTATGAAAAGGGATACATGACCGGTGGGTTAAAGTTACTTGAAATACCTTATAGGTTAGTGAGAGAACGACAGAAAATATCGTTGATAACCTTGAAAATGTGGAACACACTACTCTGGTGCTCCCTAACATTCTGAGGGCTGCAAGTCAGTACCCCAGCTCTGTACTCCCAGATTTAATACTAGTAGCCGAAGTAGGTACACTGAATATTCCCAGTTTTAATACTAATATCCGAGTCAGGTGACGCTAGCTACTCCCAGGTTTAATGCTAATACCCGAGTCAGGTGACGTTAGCTACTCCCAGGTTTAATGCTAATACCCGAGTCAGGTGAGGCTAGCTACTCCCAGGTTTAATGCTAATACCCGAGTCAGGTGACGCTAGCTACTCCCAGGTTTAATGCTAATACCCGAGTCAGGTGACGTTAGCTACTCCCAGGTTTAATGCTAATACCCGAGTCAGGTGACGTTAGCTACTCCCAGGTTTAATGCTAATACCCGAGTCAGGTGACGCTAGCTACTCCCAGGTTTAATGCTAATACCCGAGTCAGGTGACGCTAGCTAC